CTAGGACCTAAATAACAATGTCTAATGGAAGTTATAAGAACAGAGTCTTGTCTCATTTCTCACCTTAGACTTAAAACATTGCCTTTCACTATGAAATATACTAACAGTTATGTTTCATAGGTTTTCGTGATCAACTTTAGAAGGTTTCCTTCTATTCCCAGTTTGCTGAGAGCTTTTATCATAAAAGTATATTGGACTTTCTCAATGCTTTATATATATATATATATATATATATATATATATATATATATATATATTTGTCCTCTGGCTCCAAAATTTTCCATTTTTACCATATGCAAAATACATTCATCCTCATTCAAGGCCTCAAAAAATCTCATCCTCTGACAGCATCTGCTTGAGATCAAGATCTCATTACATAAATTAGGTTTAAGTGCAGATGAAGCTCCTTGAGTAAGTTTGTCCTGATCAGAAGACCCAGGAATTAAAGAGACAAGTTATCTGACCCCACAGTCAACATACCACAGTGGGACATAAGATAACCACTAAAGATCCTCCCCTTGGGTCAACAACTCATCTATTTCCATTGGAAATGTGTGATGGCTCCAAGGCAGAGAAAATCAGCCATGTATTTTATAAGAGTAAAAGACTGGGTTACCAAAGTATGCCTTTTCTAGTTAAATGGCCAAACACTGGCATGTTACACGTAACAGACAGATTTGAAGCATGTCTCAGAGGGAACTTGGGCAACAAGGAACCCGCTATGAGATCAAGGCCACTGCAGAGATAAGTCAGAGCTGTGCCCTGGCATCATAATTCCTTTCTATCTGAAGTCTGGATTGTTTCCTAGAAATAAGGCACACTGAGATGAAACAGATGGAAAATTAGCTAAGGGTAAGAGTTCAGTTATGGTAGTTTTCTGATAAGGACCTTCTTTCTGTTAGCTTCAGGATAAATGAAAGTTCAATCTACAAAATCTACATATAAAAATCAGTAGCATTTCTATACACAAACAACAAATTAACTGTGAGAGTAAAAAGAAAGGCATCTCATTTACAATATCACCAAAGGCAGTAAAATATTTAGGAATAAATGTAACCAAGCGAGTGAAAGCTACAAGACATTGATGAAAGCAATCAAAGAGCATACAAGTAAAGGGAAAGAAACTTCATGTTCATGGGCTATAAGAATTAATGTTGTTAAAATGTCCATACTACTCAAAGCCATCTACATATTCAATATAATCTCTATTAAATTTCAACGGCACTTTTTACAGAAGTATAAAAAACAATCATAAAATTTATATGGAGCCAGAAAGTACCCCCCCCCCAACCAAAGCAGTCCTAAGGAGGAAGAGTAAATCTAGAGGAATCATACCTCCTGATTTCAAACTATATTATAAAGCTATAGAGTCAAAACAGTATGGTAGTAGGATTAAAAACAGACATAATGGAACAGCATCAAGAATATGGTCAGCTAATACTTGATGAGGCAGCCAAGAAATTCCATGGAGAAAAGACAATCTCTCAATAAATGGTGCTGGGAAAATTGAATAGTCACACATTAAAGAATAGAACTACACCTCTATCTTATACCACTAACAAAATTAACCCAGAATGGATGAAGACTTAAATGTAAGACAGGAAAACATAAAACTAGAAGAAAATATAGGGGAAAATCTTCTTGCCATAGCTCTTGGCAATGGCGTTTTTTTTAAAAAATATGACTTCTAAAGCATAAGTGAAAAAATAAGCAATTTGGGACTACATTGAATTAAAAAACTTCTGCATGGCAAAAGAAACAACCAACAAAATGAAAAGGCAAACTACAGAATGGGGGAAAATATATCAAATCGTATATGTGACAAGGGGTTAATATTCAACATACAAAGTGATCTCATACAACTCAATAGCAAAAACACAAATAATCTAATTAAAAAATGGGCAGATGATCTGGGTAGATGTTTTTCCAAAGAAGATATTCAAATGGTCAACAGATACATGAAAAGGTGCTCAGCATCACTAATCATCAAGAAAATATGAATTGAAACCACAATTAGAGAGCATCTCCCTCTTGTTAGAATGGTTGTCACCAAAAAGACAAGAGATAACAAGTGTTGGCAAGAATGTGGAGAAAAGGGAACTCTTGTGCACTTGTTGGTGGAAACATACATTAGTGCAGCTGCTATGTGAAATAATACAGAGGTGTTTCTCAAAAAAATTAAAAACAGAACTATCATATGATCCAGCATTCCCACTTCTGTATATTTATCCAGAGGAATCAAAACACTATCTTAAAAAGATATATGCAGTCCATGTTCACTGTTATTTACAACAGCTAAGACACAGAAGCAACCTAAAAGTCTATCAGTGGATGAATGGACAAAGAAGATGTGGTATATTTACATACCAGAATATTATGCTGCCATAAAAAGAAAGCAGTCTTGCCATTTGAGACACTATGGATGGACCTGGAGGGCATTTTGCTGAGTGAAATAAGTCAGAGAGAGAAAGACAAATACTGCATGATCTCACTTATATGTGGAACCTTTAAAAACATAGATTAATAACAACAAAAAAAAGCCAAACTCATAGAGAGAACAGATTGGTGGTTGCCTAAGGTGGCGGACAAAATGAGTGAAGGAGGTCAAAAGGTACAAACTTCCAGTTATAAGATAAATAAGTCCTGGGGATGTAATGTACAGCACGGTGATTCTAGTTAACAATACTATCTTGTATATTTGAAAGTTGCTAAGAGAATAAATTAAGTTCTCACCACAAGAGGAAAAAATGGTGTAAATTTATGTGATGATGGATATTAACTAATTAGACTTATGGTGCTGATGATTTTGCAATAAATGCATATATCAAATCATTATGCTGTATTCCTGAAACCAATATTATGTTATATTCCTGAAACAAATATATATAAACCAATATTATGTTATATCTCTATTGGAACAAACCAAGGATAAATAAAAGACATAGAGCATAGGAATCATAGAAAGATTCAAAACTATTTCATATTCTCTTCTAAAGCTAATCCAAGCGTACATCATCCATACTTTATTGCTTACCTATACATATCAATCCTGCCTTTTTACTACAAGCTCTTTGACTTTTAAACTAGGCTCTTAAAAGGTCAGAACATAAATGGTATTGAAAACATTAACAGACAAGGGAGGGAGAAAGTCTTTTAAGTTTTGCAAAATGACTCTGGTCAACTCTACCTTCTCCCACTCATCCATCTGGCCCCCATTGCAAATCTCCATTTCTGGGGGGCGGGGTGGGGTTCAGATAGCCACAAAGCCAGTCTCCCTCCAAGTGAACAACAGAATCCCTTGGTTAGGGGGAGGGAGTGTCAAATAGTGAACTTGTTGGGCCCAAAGGTATGCCATGGAAACCCAATCATGAGAAGTGCACTCACTCTACTGAAAAAAATGACCTTCCAGACCAGTTCTGAACATGCTGGAGGTTCTTGTGCTGTCATGGGGTTTGCAATGCAAGATCTTGCTGCTTGGCAACAAGCATGCTGCTCAACTTCTAAACAACAAAATAAAGCAGTTGGTTCCCCCGTGGGCAATATGATAGCACCGGTTAACCACTTACAGTTCAAATAAAGAGGCAAAGTAATTCACAAACTGTGGGGTCTGTTCCCTGTATAGGCACGAACTCACTGATGAAGTAGTTCAGTTTCTTCTCTACTACTGCTAACAGACTGACAGTTTAAGGTTTGCTTCTCATTCGATAAAGACACTTTCCATTTTAATGACAATGTACACATTTAGTTGTTTGTTTTCAGAAGCAACTCTGGGACTTGGGGCGGGGCGAATGACAGAAGAAGAGGGTAAGGCAGAAATTGACCAAGTATATTCAATTCATAGAGATGATTTTTATACACCAGGTATTTAAAAGCAAAGAGTTCACACGTCTATATTTAAAATGGATAAGCAACAAGGACCTACTGTAGAGCACATGGAACTCTGCTCAATGTTTTGTGGCAGCCTGGATGGGAGGAGGTTTCGGGGGAGAATGGATACAGGTATATGTAGGGCTGAGTTTCTCTGCTGTCCACCTGCAACTATCACAGCAGTATTTGTTCACTGGCTATGCACCCCCCAAAAATAAAAATTTTAGAAAAAAAGTAAAGAGTTCAAAATAACACATTTGTTCACACATGGTTTCTGTGGATTGCTAGCCATCATTATTTTTTTCCTTGCCTGCATTCCCAAGCTGGTTTCATAGAAGGCTTTATTGTAATCCCAGAGCATTGTTTTGCATTAATTTCTCTGACAAGGCACCCAAAACACATGGTGCTGAGAGCAACAAAACAGAGTTAGGGAAGCAGTCATGACTTGGCACAAAGTGTGACAAGCTGTAAAGAAGGGAATGTTTCAATATCTGCAGTGGCGCTGGTTTCCTATGAGCAACCTTTTCTCTTCTAAACAGTATCATATTCTTTTCAAGCACATTTAGAACGCAAGTCAAGCTGTGTTTTATTTCTGATTATAATAAACACAGTCAGTTTACTGTAACAAAGACATAGTAGTGGTGATCGGTTTGAAAGCCAAAGTAAGACACCATAAGCTGGGTGGGGGGTGAGGTGGGGGGAGCCTGGGGCTGGGGGGTGGGTAGTCAACTGATAAAATAAAAGACCAGCCGTCTGGAAAGTTCTCTTAAAAGAACATAAAAAGGCAGTGTTTTCTTATGAGACAAACACAGAATGCCAAAATATCTGGCTGGGCTGTTTTTTGTTGCCGCTTATGGCAATTTGTAACTAAAAATAGCAAATCCTTCAAAATATTGGGCTCTCATTTTTGTTTTTTAAATCCCTAAAATAAAATACAAAAATTTTGTACACTGCTTTAAGTTGTAATACTGTTTCTTGTTTAAGACTCTTCTACATAGTAAGCATATTTATGATAATACTATTCAAATTGTTTTCTACAAAACAATCATTTAAAATGTTTATAATTATGCATGCATTTAGACTGTTGATAAAAGTGAAATAAAAAGTTCACAGCAAACAGTTAAAAATAAAGTTTATAAAACTTTCATAATCAAATTTCTGGATTCAAATTTATTAAGAAATAATGCAAATCCCCTTACCATATCTTGAACTAATGATTTTTCAAGCTCCAGCTCACTTACTAATCTGTCTCTGCCACCAATTAGCTGAAAGAGAAGAATATTAAAATCTGATTAAAGATAATAAAACACCTGAGATTCCCCTTGAATGAAATTTAGTGAAAGATCTTGATTCCAAATGTGAGAAAAATGGATCCCAGTAGGATCAAAGCAAAAATTAAATGGCCACAGATTACCATGTAATAATAACATACTATTATATAATATTTAACTATATAAGCAGGCAAAACACATACAGAGAATGCCAGTTTGTTTATTTACAACCTTTCTCACCCTACTTCCCCCCAAAATGTGACATCAGTATATAATAAAGTAAGTCTATCTATCAAAAAGAACAATTTTGCTTTACCCTTTATATGAACCATTTCTCTTATTTTAGGTTTTAGTGCTGTATTTATATACATATAAAGCTATATTCATATCAATTGAAAACAACTGTCAATATATATACTGTAGGGCCTTTATACCAACTTGACTTGCCTCAGTATTTTAAATGATAGTGTGTGTACGGTATATAATACTGACAAAATTCAACCCTTCATTCTGACACCCATTCAATTCAATTAACTCATATATTCACTAATCTAATAAACATGTATGGAACACCTTTGAGAGGCCAGACATTTCGTTCGGCTGTGGAGGCACAGAAGTGAAGTAGAACAATTCCCTTCCCTAGGGCACCTACAGGATACTAGGAGAACAATGTGAAAAAATGACTGTAATATGTAAGAAAAAAGTTAACACATAAAGTCTTCAGAGTCAAAAAGCCTAAAACTCCACATAACTTGGTAATCCTGTAATTATAAAAAGATCGGTTATCCCTGGTGTTAATGGCACAGAAGGGCTATTTGGCAAAGGTCTTGAAGGATCTGTAGAAGTTCAACAATTTGGAGAAAGGAAAAGGCCAAGAAAATGGTAATAAAGACAGCAAAGTAACCACAGCGAAGCCTGAAGTAATGCAGGAACTGGGGAAGGTTTGGTGTTTGTGGACCCAGGGTGCATATAGACAAGAATGGCAGGAATTAAAGGGAGGCAGAAATTCAGGGTGATATTATGAGGGGCCTTGCTCACCTCAATTAGGAGGGGAGGGCAGACTGGTATAAAGTACAGAACAAGAGTTGGTTCAAAAGAGAGCTCTGCTGCTTACACCGTGTGGGTGAAGTGATTCTATGCTTCAAGTCTGTTTTCTCATCTATAAAATTAGGATAATAAAACCTACTTTGGAGAGTTCTTCTGGAAAGAACTTGAGACTGCAAATGTGAAAGGGCTGAGTGGCTCCCAGCACATAAAAATCATGTAGAACCTTTTGAGACAGTCTGATGTCGTGTTGAAGACAACAGGAAAGAAAGCACTGCAGGTTGTAGCATGTGAGTGAGACTGGGGTATTAGATAACCACGGCAGCAGCGTGGAAGCTAGACTTGAAAGGGAGGAGAGTGGAGATAGGAGAATGAAGTAGGAGTCTATACAAATGGGCAAGCGACGGGGCCTCAACCAACTCTGTGACAACGCTGTTGTGGAGAAAAGGGACGAGAGGTAGGTTAAGACGTGGCCCTCAGGTTCAAACCCTGGTCAGGAAACTAGGATCCCTCCCACGAGTCACTTAGAGCAGCCAAAGAAAAAAAAAAACAAAGAAGAAAGCAGAGAAGGACCCTTGATCTGTCAGTGGGTCCTCTGGGACAGATGTCAATGTCATTCATTTAAGTGGGAAACACAGCTGAGTCCAGATTTGAGGAGTAAGGAGATCAAGTTTTGACACTGACTTTGATGAACATGTAAAGATGTTTTTTTTTTCCAGCAGACATTTTTGAGGGCTCATATAAAGGTAATAAAGGATTAGACATAGTTCTTGAGCTCACCGATTGAGGGCAAGATGAATCTCACTGTGAACTTATCAACAGCGGCAGTGTGAAGAAGAGGCTTGTAGATACATAGACAAGTTTACTTTAGTTGATACTTGAAGAGTGACTGGTAATGGCTTCAGGGGTGACCAGAGTCAAGGATCACCACCCAGAATGACGGCTTGGCTATGTATATAGGCTAGTGGGGCATGCTTAAAGGCATGAGAGAGGGAGAACGAGAGAGAGTTTAGCTGATGAAGAAAGGTCTCAGAAGAGAGGGAAGGAGAAGATGGAGTCAGGCAAGTAAGTGGAAGGATGGGTCAGGGCAAAGAGGAAGGTTCCCTCTTCCGATGGGAAGGAAAAGAGGTTAGGCTAAGCGACAGGGTAAGCAAGAGAGTGCAGAGGTGAAAAAACCCACATGTCTACTGTGTTCTCTGTGAATTAGAGAACAGCACAGAGGAATGCAACTGGGGAAAGCAGTGATGATGGGAAGAGAGGCACTGGTGGTTAGAAAGGATGCTGATTACAGATATAAATGACTATATATAAAGTGGATAGATAACTAGGTCCTACTGAATAGCACGGGAAACTCTATTCCATATCCTGCAATAAACCACAATGGAAAAGGATATGAAAAAGAATATATATATGTATAGATGAATCACTTTTCTGTACAGCAGAAACTAACATAACATTGCAAACTTGAATAAATTAATAAAATGTGTTTTTGTCAAAGGGTGCTAATTAGATCCAAGTAAAAGGATGGGTAGAAGGAGGGAGCAGTGACTCTGAGTTAAAATCCCAGAACCATCATGCAATGTCACCTAAAGGCAAGGATCCGTTTGTCTCCAATGGCAGGGTTGGGGAAAGTTGGGTCCGGGTACATGAGAGCCTCAGAAGGGGAGGTGGTGGTGGTGTTGAAGATGTGAAAGGCTGAACAGCAGGTTTAGAGAAAGTAAAGGAATGAGAAATGGAAGGAAAGGAAAAGATTTTTTGTTGAGTTATTATACCTTGGTCTGAAAAGAAGTGTCATTAAGTTTCCAACGGGCATCAATTACTGGCAAACACCAAAGCCACTGGCCCCAAGCCTTTCTGCCTCCTTGGGTCTTTTATCAGTGATCTCTTCTCTCTGTTGTACTTTTACCTGCTCATTCTTCTTTCCACTGATGTCACTTAAAAATTCTCTAGCTTCATCCTTTAAAAAATTCCTCCCTCAAGCCCACATTCCCCTCCAACCACTCTCTGACCTCTCTTTGGCCATCCACTATCAAACTTCTAGAAAGCTGCCCATGCACACTGTCTCCACGTCTGCATTCACTCCATTCCTCAGTTACTACCATGTTCCAGTAAAATGACCTCATTAATTACCAGGGTAACTGGAAAGGACCCTGATGCTAGGAAAGATTTAAGGTAGGAGGAGAAGGGGACGACAGAGAATGAGATGACTGGATGGCATCACTGACTCAGTGGACATGAGTTTGAGCAAACTCTGGGAGTTGGTGATGGACAGGGAGGCCTGGCGTGCTGCAGTCTGTGGGGTTGTAAAGAGTCGGACACAACTGAGTGACTGAACTGAACTGACTTACCAGGGTCATTTTAATTGTCAAAGCTAATTATCCAATTTTTCATATCTAGTCTTTTGCACATCTGGCCTCTGGGAAGTGCTGAATGGATCCTCTCTTCTTGAGCCTTTTGCCTTGTTGTTGTTGTTCAGTCGCTAAGTTGTGTCCAACTCTTTGCAACCCCCACGACTGCAGCAGCCCAGGCTCCCCTGTCCTTCACTATCTCCCAGAGTTTGCTCAAATTCATGTCCACTGACTCCAACTATCTCATCCTCTGCTACCCTCTTCTCCTCCTGCCCTCAATCTTTCCCAGCATCAGAGTCTTTTCCAATGAGTTGGCTCTTTGCATCAGGTGACCAAAGTATTGGAGCTTCAACTTCAGCATCAGTCCTTCTAATGATTATTCAGAGTTGATTTCCTTTAGGATTGACTGGTTGGATCTCCGTGCAGTCCAAGGGACTCTCAAGCCTCTTGCTTGGTTTCTATGAAATCCACTCTCTGCTGCTCTACCACTGTACTCATTTTCATCTGAGTGTCAACTTTCCACTTCTCTTCCTTTATCTCTCCCACTTTCAATCTTATCAAAGGCCCTGGCTTTTATTGCCTAATCATCTCTTGAATTCATCTACCTGCTTCTTCATCCCCGTGTCACTGTCTTCTTCCTGTTTCGGGGCTTTCTATTAAGTTATCCTGGTTTATACAAGAAATCTTTAATTGGTGTCTCTCTGGCCCTGGATTTTCCTTTCTTCCATTCGTTCTTTCTCTGAAACACGAATTCCATCCTGCCCCAGTGTCCAAGATGCCCCATTCACTCAGGAGGCAACTCACACTCCCTCCGAAATGCGTAACAATCCTCAGCCACGTGCCCTGCTTCTAGCCACCCCTGTTCCCACACATCCTCCCGCTGTAATCAGTCACGTACCTTCCCCCCTACACGTGTTCTGGCTCTTCCCACTTCTCTCCCTTTCACCCTTTCCTGGCGAACTCTAACCTTTCTTCTGAGGGCCAGCTCGGTGCCCTTCCTCTGAACTTCCGTAATCTCTTATGATTCAGACTGGCTGTGCCCCCAACCATCCCCATAGCAACCAACGCTGCCCTGTATCCCGACACTGCCACACCTGGGATATAATCCCTGACTGCTGGTCTGTCCCCTCTCAGAAGGAAATTCATCTTGTAGCCACAGCTGAAACAGATTCAGCTGTCATTTGACTACTAAAATTTAAACATAAAAGCTGCTGAATCTTAACAGTGTTGCAGTCCCATTTTCAACTCATTTTTAATTGTATCCAGGGATGAAAGGCTTCCCGGGTAGCTCAGTGGTAAAAGAATCTGCCTGCCAATGCAGGAGACACAGGAGATGCCAGTTTGATCCTTGGGATGGGAAGATCCCCTGGAGGAGGAAATGGCAATCCACTCCAGTATTCTTGCCTGGAAAACCCCATGGACATAGGAGCTTGGTGGGCTACAGTCCACGGGATCACAAAGAGTCAGACACGACTGCAAGCTGAGAGCGGGCTGCAAAGGGGAACATGTAGCTTATCCAAAGGCTTCTGAGCTCTCCTGTATGCTCTTCTGGTTTCTGTTCACTCCTTCCTCACACCTCAGACTCCCCTCTCTTCCTGTACTCACACAAATCTCACCACGTGGTCTCACTAGATCCCACTTCTTGCTCCAGCCACACCAGAGTTCCACGGGGGTAACTTACACTTTACACATTCACAGCTGTATGCAGCCTTCCACCTTCCTACATGTATACATGCTAAGTTGCTTCAGTCGTGTCCAACTCTTTGCAACCCCAGGGACTGTAGCCCATCAGGCTCCTCTGTCCATGGGATTCTCCAGGCAAGATTACTGGAGTGGGTAGCCATTTTCTTCTCCAGGGGATCTTCCTGACTCAGGGATCAAACCTAGGTCTCCTGCTTTGCAGGCAGATTCTTTACCGTGTGAACCACCAGGGAAACCCTAAACACCTGGAATCAGTTCAAGAGAAGGAGTAGGAGACAGCTCTGGAACAATTTGTGAAGCATTTCTAGAACCTTCCAGGTCAATTTTCAGTTCAGTCGCTCAGCCATGTTCAACTCTTAGGGACCCCATGGACTGCAGCATGCCAGGCTTCCCTGTCCATCACCAACTCCCGGAGCATGCTCAAACTCATGTCCATCGCGTCACTGATGCCATCCAACCATCTCATCCTCTGTTGTCCCCTTCTCCTCCCCACCTTTAATCTTTCCCAGCATCAGGGTCTTTTCCAATGAGTCAGTTCTTCGCATCATGTGGCCAAAGTATTGGAGTTTTAGTTTCAGCATCAGTGAATGAATATTCAGATGAATATTCAGAACTGATTTCCTTTAGGATTGACTGGTTCGATCTCCTGGCAGTCCAAGGGACTCTCAAGAGTCTTCTCCAACACCACAGCTCAAAAGCATCAATTCTTCAGCACTCAGCTTTCTTTATAGTCCAACCCTCACATTCATACGAGACTCTTCCTTGGTGGCTCAGACGGTAAAGCATCTGCCTACAATACGGGAAACCCAGGTTCGATCCCTGGGTACTCTTGCCTGGAAAATCCTATGGACGGAGAGGGTGGTAGGCTGCAGTCCATGGGGTTGCAGAGAGTCGGACACGACTGAACAACTTCACTTTCTTTCTTTCACATTCATACATGACTACTGGAAAAACCATAGCTTTGACTAGATGGACCTTTGTTGGCAAAGTGATGTCTCTGCTTTTTAATATGCTGTCTAGGTTGGTCATAACTTTTCTTCCAAGGAGCAAGTGTCTTTTGATTTCACAGCTGCAGTCACCATCTGCAGTGATTTTGGAGCCCAAGAAAATAAAGTTTCTCACTGTTTTCATTGTTTCCCCATCTATTTGCCATGAAGGCATCTCTTCTTTATGTACATACATCTATTACAGCCCCATCACACTCTCCTGTGGTTATTGTCTCTCTCTCTCTAGATTTGATCTCTTTCACAACAAGCCCATGTGTGTGTGTTTGTGTGTACGTGTGTATAAAATTTCTGTATCTAAGCAGTGTCTGGCACTAAAAGGCATCTAATGAACATTGCTGAATCAATTGATTTAATGAAGGATATTGGAAATAAACCAGTAAATATTAGCTCTCATTTTGGTCAACAATTCCTGGTCTGCTTTCCAATTGACAAAGCCTTTTGACGTATATTATCTCATTCTATCCACACGGTAAGCCTGTGAGACTCAGGAAGAAGGAGAATGAGAAACTGGCCCAAGTAACTATAGAGTCAGAAATGGAACAGAGACCCAAGGGTCTAGATTTTTCCTGCTCAAAACCAAATCATGCCTACATTCAACATCTGTGTGGAGGCCCAGTGCATATAAAGGAAAAAAGAAGGGAGACAGGATAAAAAATACAATCAAACAAACTACATATTTGCTATATATGTCTAGAACAAAGCTGTCAAAAATATGTGTCATATATATAACTGAATTTTAAACACCTTTCTTAAAAAGGTAAAAAAAGGTGATATTAACTTTAATAATATATTTTATTTATACCAATAGCTATGCAAAATAACTTAAATATATAATAATCAATATTAAAAATCATTAGCAAAATATTTCACATTTCTTACAGCACCTGACTCTTTGAAATCCAGTGTGTATTTTTCATTTAGAGCACATCTCAATTTGAAGCCTAAAATTTTATGGCAGATACTTGATCTGCATTTAGATTTCATAAAATTTACAAATAGAAATGTACATTCACATGCTCAAATTATTCAAAATATACATAAAAGTTTTTCAGTAACTGAAACAAATATCAATATTTTATATTGAAATTTAAAAATTAAAAGTAAACATAATTTAAAATTCAGTTTCTCAGTTGCACTAGACATGGGCTTTCAATAGCCACATGTGGCTAACACTGGGCAGTGCAGGTCTAGAGAATGAAGGCAGCATTTAATCAGAATACTTGAGATCATACAAAGTATGACCAGCCACTCAGTGGGGATGTTTCTTTCTAATTGATGCCTTAATGGTGGGACTTTTTTAAATTTCCTTGAACTCCTCCCAGAGAAGAGTAAGCTTGTCCGACTCATCTTTACCAGTGATAGCACAGACTGAGAAACTGGAGAAATTATTTACATAAACTGACATGATGCCCTTGCAGGTTATTAAGTAAAACTAGAAAGCTAAGATTTCATTTTTAACCTTAAAAGTTGGTGCCAAGAAGTTTAAACTGGTCTATTCTTATACTCTCATTACCTCCGTAAGAATGACACTTGCACCCTCACCACTGAAAACAGGCTCAAGCACCAGAAAATGACTTCATGTTGTGAAAACCTGTGATGGATTCAGTGATCACAGGAAGCATCTCCCAATTCTGACCCATCACAGTATGCATTTCTTCAGAAAATAGTTCTTGGGACTACCTGGCAGCCCAGTGATTAAGACTCCACACTGCCAATCCAGGGTGCTCAGATTCAAACCCTGGGAGGGGAACTAAGATATCTCATACTGTGTGGCCAAAAAATAAAAAACAGTTCTTGGAAGTAATTTTTTCTAAAACCTAAGACTAGGACTTCCCTAGTGGTTCAGTGGTTACGACTCCACCCCTCCACTGCAGGGGTGTGAGTTGAATCCTTGGTCTGAGGACTAAGATCTTGTATGCGCACTGCACCACTGAAAGTAAATAAGTACATAAATAAAATTTTAAAAACTTTTTTTTAAATGAAAAATAAAACCTAAGAATACCAGAAATGCAAAATCTAGGTTGAAATCTGAATCTTAAGCTTTATGAGCTCTGGATATGAGGCCAGCATGACTGAGGAACTCAATTTTTAATTTTATCTAACTTTAATTTTCATTTAAAAATTGATTCTCGATTCAGTTTGTGGAAAACTTGTGATTTGGAATAATTCAAGGATATAAATTCACATTTTTATCTGTAAATTTTGTGAACTCTAGAGATACATTCTTATTCTATGAAATCACTCAAAGAATATTTTTAAGTGTACCAGTGCTCAACACTGGGATAAGATCAGAGACCAGTGCTGACTTTGGGTTGCAGGGCCTTTGGCAGTGCAGACTGACCATCACAGAGGAGGGTTTTGAGAGCTGAGAAAGCTGAAAGCAGGAGCCCTGACCTGGGTGTGGAGGGCAGGAATTGCCGTGGTTCTGCAACACTGGATGCCTCAGGAAATCTTGATTTTTATGATATCAAAAGCATTCCCTGCTCTAAATACAGATTTTCTGCAAAATACAAACCCAGTTCATTCACATGCAGAGAAATGAAGATAAAACAATATCTGATATGAAAATAGGCTGCCCATTCCTAACAATATCATTTTTCCACAAACATATCTTTGGACTCCCTGTGTCACATTTTTCAATTCCTTACAGCCAACAAGGTAGACACTCAGTTATGCCAAATGAAAGAAAACATGAGTTCATTTTCAAGATGGAATCCTTTCTCATTAATAGAGAAATAATCCCAAACGACACTAAATACAGGAATCGACTTTTCTCGACATCACAAGACAAGGCGGGGGCATAGTGTTATTTCACTAATTATGCTGATATTTCCATTGAAAAGAGTCATTCATCAATGTAAAAAAGTTACAGTACCTTTTGAATAGTTTTATGATCCTTATCTGCCATCTCTTTCAGACTTATAATTTCATCTTCTGTAAACAAAAGGAGAGAGAGGCCAACCATGAAATTACAAGCTTATAGCCCTGTATTCAATCTGCCTGCTTCAGGGCAGGCTATACACCGCTGGCAGGCATGGTGGACGCAAGTCCTAGCAGGACTATGACCTTCACAACTGCCCTTGACATTCACAGCTTTCTTCCTGCTGTTCAGACGGCTGGTCAGATAGGGATTAAGAACTAAGTTCAAGATCCAAGTGTGGCTGAAGGCTGAAAGCTTTTCATCGAGTCTAGCAAGGGACATTTTTGCTGTTAGTCACAGCCAATACAAACTGCTTTAGCAGGTGGCACTTTATGGACTGAGTAAGAAATACCAAAACCTGAAGACGCATTATTACACCACATCAGGGAAGAAATGAAACTACACTGGCGTGGTATAACTTACATCCAAGAAACATTGCCCCATATCTGATTTTATAAATGTTTCGCTACAAACTTTATATTGCCTTACTCAAAGGGCAAAACTTATCAATGTTTCGCTACAAACTTTATATTGCCTACTCAAGGGCAAAACTGTATAACTAACATAAATACAATGATAGCATTGCCTGTAAAAGCTTTAAAGCAATCCAACTTCAATGATTTAAATGCAATGTTTACCAATGTTTATGGCATGTAAGAAGGGGGTATAGGGTCAACAAATGGAAATTTGTACTTAAAATTTGTGCCAAAAATTGAAGGTAAGTAGTAAGTAGAAGCATATTTTCCTGAAGGGCCAATTCTGTTTCTTCACAAAGCACACCTCAATATATATGCTCAAATATTAAAATGTTAGAAATTTTAGGTTTTAGATTAAAGACATGAAATTTTGTTTAATATTTATAATATTTCTAAGTGATATTGAGCACTGATGAGCACATTTTTCAAAGGCCAATGCTTGGATTTAAAAACAACCACCCTTAGTTAGAAAGGCATGGCTAGGGGAGTATGACCAATTTCTGTCCCAAGAAAAGAATGAAAAGTGGCTAACAAGCTGATATTTTAAATGTAAATATGGTTTGGTAACAAGAACATGTTTGAAAAAGACAAGCATGGCCATGAATTTTATAAAAGTGCCCAATGTATAGAGTTTTCTCAAAAATGACTCTAAAATGTTACCTAATACTGAATTTTCTTTTATATTGAGCTGGATTTCTTCTTCGAGTTCTGAAATGACTTGAAGCAGTCGCTCATTTTCTGTTTTGAACTCCAAATTTTCCTTTTCTAGAGTTGTTCTCAAAGGGCTGCTCTCTTTGATAAAAGAATCCTAAAAGAGGGAGAATTCCATATTTCTAAGCAGGGAGCCAAGGATTTAAATATGCAAGACGAGACAATACAGATACAGAAGAGCTATCATATAATTTTCTGAATTCTATTACACACTTATAATATGAATAGTAAAAAGGGAAGGAGAGTAAAATAGAGCTTGCTGGAAGAAAGGCTGCAGTACCTTCTGTACAAAGACCACAGCACATGGGGACAGTTTATTGACAGGAATAATGCATATCATACTGTTTGTGTGCCCCCATCATTCAGGTCAATTCATTATGGAGGCTGTGTCCGGGGAGGCAGCTGGGGCCCCTCCACCCACACTTCCCTCTGTGTGTGCGTCTGAAGTGCTGTCCGCCGGTAACCAGGCAGGCTGGGGGGACCGTGGACGGGCAGCAGCGCCGGGGAAGGGGGTGCGGGCGGGGGGCGGGGGGCAGAGTGCACAGCTAAGGCGGGGGGCTTGTTGCCTTTGTGGCATTTCCCAGTGTCAGCGCTGCCAGTGTCAAGAGGAGCGCACCACATGTCAAAGTGGTGACGTTTTCAGGCTGGGAGCCGCATGGAGCCCATCAGGCACACGGATATCCACACAGTTGGGTTTTCTGCTGGGTGGAGGAGCCACCCAGAGGCAATTCATATTCTGAACATTAACGTGGCTTTGCATGCCTGTCACACTGGGACTGTGCAGGCGTTGAATGCTATTGAAGACTTCGGTTTAAATCTCTATGCAAACAGTGATTACCTTGTAAGAAGGTTTCAGGATAACTTACAACAAAAGACTTTAAAGTTATAGTTTTAGTAAAGCAAACTCATTTACATTTTTATTATGTGCGTCTTTTGTTTAAATCTTGCCATGTCCATTACGGGAGACGCTTTTTCTTACGCAATAGAAGCTTATTGGGACAGCTACTCTTCTTTTCTTCTTCTCGTGTGTTTCAAATCTATTGAAAACATCTGACTATACTTGCTTATGGCTGTCTAGATTTTACTTGCTGCACTTCTTTTTAAAATTAAGATGTAATGAGTTGGAGAAGCTGATGCAGAACTTTATATTTCATGATGGTAAAATATTAAACTGATTATGCAATCTCAAAATAGTAAAGAACATGCTTGAAAGTCATTGTATTATTACAGTATAAGAGAAGTATTTATATGCCTTTGTTCAAAATCAATATGGACACTAGAAATACTTTTAAACTTTAATTTTCAGATTAATTATAAGCTATTCTTTTAGTAGCAATGCCATGATTGCAAATACATAAGAATAAAATCTCCTCTCAAAAACAAAATCATTCTTCCCAAAAAGTCATTCCTCCCAATATAACTAGTGTCCTTTTGAAAGTATACTTTTATTTAGCTTTAGAGATAACTGAAAGTAAATTAATAAAAAAAAGGTTTCCTCTGTGGTCATAATGGTTCAAAAGAAACATACGTAGCTATCATGTTTTATAGTACATGAATAAACCCTTGAGAAACAACAAGGGACTTTTTAATGAAGTCAGTTATACCAGATTTAATATTTATAATGATGACGTTAAATTTTTCACTAAGCCCAATTGTGAATCTTCATGATTTTGATTCATCATTCCACTTAAATTATTTAAGCCCAATTCATTCTTAACTAATGAGAACTAACAAATTTAATAACTAATAACACTATTTTCTTAACAAGAAAGAATCCCAGTCATTATTTTCTTGTCCCACATGGTTCGACTTGAGAACATCAAAGAATGAATTTCTAGGCTGAAAAAGCTTTTTAAAAGGCAAACAGCGTTTGCCTTAATTGGCTTAAATGTACATTTCCTAACAGTGGCAGAAAATGAACATCCATTGTGGATTACGTGAGCATCCATTATAATAAACTAAATGAGAACTATTTGAATAATCAGATGAAGTGTAAAATTTACAAGAGGTGGCAGCTAGCGCCTAAATGGGTTTTCTAAAAATCTCCTAGAAAAGCAGGAAACAAGGCGACACTTCCAACTCAAGGGTTGCCCCCCTCCCACAAATCCATGGACAGCCCCAGTTCCTGAGAGGTTAACCTTTAGCTCTGTCCCCACCATCTGTCAGCTGCAGGAACTGCAAGTAATTAACTATTCAGATTCCCACAGCAATGAGGACACTCATTAGCAAAATGAACAAAGGGACAGTTCTGGGCGGCTACGGTCATCTGTTACACTCTGAGTGGCAGGTTTTGTGGTGGTGTTTCTCCTACCATCTGCCCACACCACTAGCTTGGGCTCACTGAAACCACGAGACTTCCTTAAAACAAGCTGTGTTAATAAACCGAAGTTAAGAAGGATGGAGATCATTAAAAGGTGGTTAACTAGTTAAAGCTATTTAAAGCTACATTATTGCCCAAGACAGCCTGCAGTGCAATCCATGGTCACTCTGGGATTTAAAATTTATAAAGGAACTTGTCAGTTTAGAGTTCTTCTATCATGCAGTGGACGCTAGGACTTCAGTGCCGGCTCACATGCTATTTCTCTTGTGAACAGCCACAGGATGTGCAGTATCCCTGTCCGAGGCCTCAGAACCCCAAACAGTGGGGTTTGGGAAATGGGTGTTCTCCAGAGCCTCACTACTCCAAATGTGGTCCAAGGACCAGGAGCCTCGGCATCACCTGGGAGCTTTTTGAAAATGCAGACTCTCCGGCCCCAACACAGTCCTGTCTGGATCTATATCTTAACAGGAGCTGCAGGTGACCCATACACACAAAAAGTCAATAAAGGCTGAGAAGCACTGTCTGGGGCGCCGCAGGTGCCTTCCCAGCAGTCTCCCTTTTGCCACATTGGCGTCTCAATTCTGCAGGCTCTGTGTACAGTGCTTGGACATCTCAATTTGATGCTGGGGGTGGGGGGCAGGGGTTTCTGCCGCATGCCCATGCTGTGTGACAGTCACAGAGACGAGCAGGTGCTTTCCCAGTGAGTGACAGCCAAGAAAGTGGCCCACTGGGGCAGTGCAGCCCTGCAGAGCTGCCGCTCTTGAATGACGGCTCTGTTTCAAAACTGTCAGCAACAAACAGTCATGTTTACGTATTGGTGGTGGCGGGGGTGGGTGGGCATGATGGTTGCATAGCTCATCCATGTTGGGGTAAGAAAGAAAAATGAAGTCTTTTCAAAACAACTCTAATCGCAATTGAAGCACACAGGTGTGTGCGTGGGTACACAGACACACAGGCACATTATCCTGACCAGCTAGCTCCTTCAGCAATTCTTGAGTGGATTTATCAGCATATAGCACGGCAACCTGAAAACTGTAGCAAAGTGCCATTAACTCATTGAGGGGGTTCACAGAGCCTGAAAAGACACTCAGCCCTTGAATGGGTTTGTGTGTGTTAGTCGCTCAGGCATGTCTGACTCTTTTCGACCCTGTGGACTGTAGCCTGCCAGGCTCCTCCATCCATGGGATTTTTCCAGGCAAGAATACTGGAGTGGGTTGCGATTTCCTTCTCTAGGGGATCTTCCCAACCCAGAGATTGAACTTGGGTTTCCCACATTGCAGGCAGACTCTTTACCATTTGAGACACCAAGTGAAGCCCTCTCGGGGAGAATTCAACATCAGGATGTTCTGACCTGGAGAGATGAGGTTTCTGTAACTTGATGAGATTCCTTTTTCTGATTTCCATCTTGTCATAAATATAAGCTAAGCTAAATGTTTACTAAACCTTCCTTTTCCTGTCATTCTTACATTTTACTCTAAAACAATCTGGAGAGAGATTATAACTAGTAACAGAGAAGTAATTTATGTGATCAGACTATGAGAAAGAACAAACTAGAGTATTCCCTTATTGCTTATTTGATTTTCTTATTTTAAGTTGGTTTTGTGAGTTATTTGGACTGCTGCTTTGAGAATTTCTAATTGTTTCTCCAATTTGGTTTTCCAAATCTAATTTCAGACACTTGCTGTATTGAGCTTTCTACACCGCTAGAGGGAGCAGTCGTATTAGATGATATTTCAAATTTCAAATTTAGGGCTTCTCTGGTGCCTCAGACGGTAAAGAATCCCTCTGCAATGACCCAGGTCCGATCCCTGTGTCAGGAAGATCCCTTAGGGAAGGAAATGGCAACCCACTCTAGTATTCTTGCCTGGAAAATCCCATGGATGGAGGAGCCTGGCAGGCTACAGTCTATGGGGTCGTAAAGAGTTGGACATGACTGAGTGACTTGACTTCACCTAGAACTTGAGTGGTATGGAGTTCTAGGAAAGCTAGTTCTTAGAAGATTTTTTAAGAGAAATTTCAGATTTTTTTTTATATATAACCTGCTTTTGCAGTGTTCATGTCCATCCTACTGAAAGGCACACTAGCCCTGCTCTGCATTGCCCTAGCATGGTGTTTCACTAGGGGCCTCTGGTGCTGGGGAAAATTTATATATACACTCAGTTAATCAGGAGTCTCACCTTCCTCAAATCTTAAGTTGTTTACAGCAATATTGATGTGGTGTCCATGGAGGCAAAATACAGTGAAACAACTAAGGTCTGCTGCAGAAGACTCTTGAGAGTCCCTTGGACAGCAGAGAGATCAAACCAGTCAATCTTAAAAGGAAATCAACCCTGAATATTCAATGGAAGGACTGATGCTGAAGATGAAGCTCCAATACTCTGGCCATGTGATACGAAGAGTTGACTTATTGGAAAAGACCCTGATGCTGGGAAAGACTGAGGGCAGAAGGAGAAGGGGGTGACAGAGGATGAGATAGTTGGATGGCACCACTGACTCAATGAACATGAGTCTGAGTAAACTCTGGGAGACAGTGAAGGATAGGCGTGCTGCAGTCCATGGGGTCACAAAGAGTCGGACACGACTGAGCGACTGAACTATAACCACCACCAAGGTCTTCAGAATGCCACCAGAGGCAGAGAACACCTGCTTATACAACAGCAGGGGTGGACCCTCCCACTTCCTGTCGTCCTCACCAAGCCCCGCCCACCTCATCTTGTTCTGTGCCCAGGATGTCCAGACAGACCAGTTAACAGGCTGAGGACAGTCGGAGGTGTAAACACACCAAGAAAGACCTTGCGTTGGAAGCTCAATTACAGAAGTGGGATATTTTCAACATTTCAACATTACATTTCATGGACTGTAAACCAGGTGGTAATAAGGACTTGTGTATTTCCCCATGATGATAACTAGAATTTATATGCATGCCTTTCTTCAAAGAACTCACAGCGATTCATATTCATCACAACAAATCCTCCTCATAACACTGTTGGCTAGGCAGAGATCACTTTTCATTTCACAAGTGGGAAATAATTGGATCAAAATTGCCTTGCTAATCAATGCTGGACATCGTTAGTCAAGGGCAGGAATAAAAGCCAAAACTATTACTACTTTTCTATTAAATTTTCTACTAATAATTCTATTAAATTATTTTCTCCAAAAAACTAAGAGTAAATGTAGACCCAAGATAAGAAAAGTAAATGCAAAAATTGGATGTGTCTCTTCCTCCAAAGTGATCAGAATATGTAAAAAGAAATAATATTCAATTATATTAGATCTATGATAAGAATACTTAATATTAAGTTGCTTAGAAGATACTCTGGTTTTTTTAGAACATAGAGAATTCTTTTTTTGTTTGTTTTGTTTTTTGTTGTTGTTTTTGTAGAACACAAACAATTCTAACAGATTAAACAAAGTATTCTTTCCCCAGTTAATAAACAAAGTCCTTTAGAAGGGTGCAAGTTCTATTCCTTATCTTTTCTAACTTCAGGGGTTTTAAGTAAGAATACTAGTGTGGGACTTAGATATACCAAGGACTGCACTTAAATAGCCCAGCAACCTGGAAGTGTTTCTTCTTCCTAGCATTCACATTTTGATATATTACTTCTCAGAGTTTCCCCCCCCCCCCCACACACACACACACACATGAGTCAATATTTATGTGTATCTACACAGGGATCACTATACACTTAGTGATGTACATTTAGTGATATACTCTTAGTGACCAGGGCTTCCCTGATAGCTCAGGTGAAGAATCCGCCTGCAATGCAGGTGAACCTGGTTCTATTCCTGGGTCAGGAAGATCCTCTGGAGAAGGGATGGGCTACCCACTCCAGTATTCTTGGGCTTCCCTCGTGGCTCACCTGGCAAAGAATCTGCCTGCAATGTGGGAGACCTGGCTTCGACCCCTGGGTTGGGAAGATCCCCTGGAGAAGGGAAAGGCTACCCATTCCAGTATTCTGGCCTAGAGAATTCCATGGACTATAGAATCCAAGGGTTGCAAAGAGCCACACATGACTAAGCAACTTTCACTTTCATACACAGGGATCACTATACACTTAATTAAAATTATAATAATTATATGTTATATTGGTTTATATATATACTGTAATACCATAATCTATTATAATAATATATACATATAATAAATATATAAGCTATATAAGAGTATATATATTGGGTTGGCCAAAATGTTAATTTGGGTTTTTCATAACATCCTATGGAAAAACCCCAACTTTTTTTGGCCAACCCTAAATATGTGTGTGTGTGTGTGTGTGTGTGTGTATACACATATATATGTATATTGCAACCTTTAATTCTTACTTTATACAGAGGAAAAAGCTACACTTCCTTATGTGGGACTTTGGACTCAGATGGACCTTGGTTTTCATGCCATGTCAGCATTTACCAGCTGTGTGCTATGGGTAAGTCTCTGCCTCCTCGTCGGTGAACTGAGCTGTGAGGTGAGGAAGCACCCCTGCCAGTGCAGGTTGTGATCCTCTGGCCTCTCGCGTCACCTCTCCTACTCCAACAATCCACTTCTTGCTCTTAGAACCTAATATGAAAACCCCTCTATGGCTATTTGAGTTGATTTGAGGTGAAAATAAACTTGTGTTCAGGGTCCACAATGTCCAGATCCTTCTCATTCATCTCTTCGGCAGGTAGCTAAGCTCTCCTTTCTGCGTTCTCTCTCCCCCCACTTTTGTTCTCTTCAGTCCTTGGAGCAGTAAAGTGGTTCCTGGCTCCCACTACAACGGGGAGAACAGGGGGACATCCTCTCAGAATTTTCCTTCTTGACATTTCTATGGAAGGTCATCCTGTTACAAGCTGGTTTCTTGGAAGCCTCTGACTTGAGATTGTTTTGTGTCTTTCAAATTAACTGGATTGGAAAAAAAAAAAAGGGTGGGACTCTTCTGTATTAAAACAAAAATGTATTTCCATGCTTTTCTAGGGTGGGAGATAGGTTATTTTATTTCCCTTGCAAATAAAAATTGAGAACTATTAAACTGCTCCTATTTATAATTATTATGGATTTTCTAGACTATGTTATTGAGCAAAAAAAGGGTTGAACTGTCTTATTTTGTGAAGAAGATACCCAAGATACATCCACTGTAGTCCCTTTATTCCAAACCCAAGCTTTTAGACAGCCGTGAGTTCATTTAAATATATTAACATAAATTATTCTTTGCTGTGAAACTTACAACTTTTTGAGATCCATTTTCTTCATATTGGTCTAGTTCTTCTCTTAATTCCTTAATAACCTCTTCTTTCTCCCTCAGTCTTTTTAACAAAATGTTCATTTTGACAGTCATTGCGTCCTGCAGGGATGTCTTCTCTTCTTCCACCTCGAAGTATTGCTGGGGGTAGAAAGATACTAGTCAGATACTATGCTACCAGCAGAAACCATTCCATGTTTTATTTAAGCTCCTGTCCTGTAAAGTTGTTTTATTTTTGCAACTTGCATGCAAGTTTTAGTAAATTGTGATATTTATATTGACCAATACACTAAAAGTGTCAATGGCATTACAGCACACTATTATCCTATAAGAGACAAAGCACAATGTCTCACACTGACTGTATCAGTCTGCCAATAATAAAATAGTAAGCCTTAGCAGTAAATCTACATCATGACTGTGAATGTCCTACTTCAATCTTCCTCTAGAAAGCAAACTAGCAAAAGTTTTGACTATGTAAAACAGAAAAGAAATGTACTTCAATGGCACAACTAATTCCCTTGATGGTTTGGAATGGAGGGGTGGAAAAAAAGAAGAACCATTTCTTGAGCCTATTTTAAGCATTGAGGTGCTAGCCTATTCACAGTTAGTACTCTGAAGAATTGTGTCACAAAATCAAAGCAAGGAAAATGCTATAAAATGGCGCTGCTATTTACTTCAACATATAAAAATCTCATTTTCAACACAGACATGCAAAAGCATTTTGCCCATTTTGGACTCTTTTGGGAGTTATGGAAGAATTTTTTATTTTCATCATCTGTTTGTTACTAATATATTTGGACACATGGACTTACAATAAATATAGTAAAACTTAATCACATCTGCTGATATACATAATATTGTATTTAAAAGAGTTAAACTTAAAAACTAAAATTGTTCTAATATTATATGATGAATACTGGCAGACTGAGAATAATAATATTACGTCCGGGTAGCATTGAAGAGTCAAGCTAGGGCATGCCTAGTGGCTCAGTGGTAAAGAATCTGCCTGTCAATGCAGGAGACACGGGTTCCATTTCTGGTCTGGGACAATCCCACACGGGGTCCTAGCGTCCAGGAGTCACAAGTGCTGAGCACATGTGCCACAACTAATGAAGCCCACACACCCCAGAGCCCTTGTTGCCCAACAGGAGAAGGCACTGCAGTGAGAAGCCTGCACACCACAGCTAGAGAGTGGCCCTCGCTCGCCAAAACCAGAGAAAAACCTGCACAGCAGTAAAGACTTAGCACACCCGAAATAAATGAATTTTTTTAAAAAAGGGTCTGGTTAAGGACATAACGCTGACAGTCTATACCACACTAATGAAAAAGATCAGTAAATGAACACGCAGTAGCGTTTGAAAGAGTGAAAATTAAAAAAAATTTTAAAAAAAGAGTGAAAATAGAACAACCATATGACAATACAAGAATTTTAATTGGGTGATTCTAGAGAACAGTATTGAGTATGTAGATCTGTTCACATCTATTCTGTTTTATGTCTCCAGCTTAAATGCACTGCAGAGGTTAAGACACTTTACCCACTGGTGCCCTGAGTGTAAGTTCCTGGGCATCTCAAATTCAACAGGTCCAAATAGAGGTCCCCGTCTTCACTTTCCCCCTCTCTGCCTCCCCCATTAACATCAGCCCAAGCCAGAAACCCATTTTCTGTCATTGTAAGCACCTTTTATTCCCTCACTAACTCACCAAATCTGTTCAATGCACCTCTAAGTCACTCCTGAACCTACCCTCTCCCCTGATCCACTGCCTTGATGTTACCACCAAAACTTGGGCCTGCCAATCTACTAACATCAGGTTTCCCTGGTGGCTCAAAGGGTAAAGAATCTGCCTGCAATTCTTTAGGAGACCTGGGTCTGATTCCTGGCCAGGAAGATGCCCTGGAGGAGGGCACGGCCACCCACTCCCGTATTCTTGCCTGGAGAATCCCGTGGACAGAGGAGCCTGGAGGGCTACAGTCCGTGGGGTTGCAAAGAGTCGGACAGGACTGAAGCTACTTAGCACACACAATCTGCTGACACCAGTGTGTGGTAAAGGAAGGTTCCGTGTTTATTATTAAGTGCCAAGCAAGGAGTCCAGCACAGTTAATGCTCAAAAGCCTGAACTCCCCAGTGGGTTTCAACAGGTTTTAAAAAAATGTATTTATTTGTTTGACAATGCTGTGCACAGTTTGTGGGCTCTTAGTTCCCCAACCTGGGACTGAACCCTGGCCGCTAGCAGTGAAAGCAGAGAGCCCTAACCACTGGACTGCCAGGGAATTCCCCACCAAGGTATTTTTAAAGGCCAGGTGAGGGAGGGGAGCCCCAGGGTGTGTGATCAGCTGGTGCAAAATTCTCAGATTGGTTGATGGTGAGGTAACTGGGAGGTGTCACGGGGATTCATATTATTATTCCTTAGAATCCAGGAGGCGGGCAGGCTGTGTGCTCATGGTCATTGAGTTAACAGCTTCCGTTTGGTGAAGGTTTTAGCATCTGTTTAACAGCTCAGGAAGTGGGCATCAGATACTGTTATCTGGGTGCTTCAGAGATGAGCTGAAGCAGAGGACGTGGGGGAGGGGGGTCTGTTCCGGAAAGGCCCCGTAGGGTCCCCCAGTCACAGTCGGACTCTGTCTGGTTCACTTGCACCGTTGCACTAGCTCTTAACTCACCTCCCTCTTTTTTTTTTTTTAAATACCTATCTAATTTTTAAAAATTAATTTTTATTGGAGTGTAGTTGCTTTACAATGCTATGTTCATTTCTGCTGTACAGAAAAGTGAATTAGCCACACAGATACATACATCCCCTCTTTTTTTGGATTTCCTTCTCATTTTCGTCATGACAGGCTTCCCTTGTGGCTCAGCTGGTAAAAATCCGCCTGCATTGCGGGAGACCTGGGTTCTATCCCTGGGTTGCAGAGATCCCCTGGAGAAGGGAAAGGCTACCCACTCCAGTATTCTGGCCTGGAGAATTCCACTCATTGTATAGTCCATGGGGTTGCAAAGAGTCAGACATGACTGGATGACTTTCACTTAGGTTACCGCAGAGCACTGAGATGAATTGGGAGATTGGGGTTGACATAGATACACTAGTGATATATGCACAAAACAGATAACTAATGAGAATCTACTGCACAGAGACTTCCCCGACTCTTCTTTTGTCCTCTCCAACCAATCTGCACCCTGTGACTGAACTGATCTTTCTAAAATGCGGCTCTCCTTGTCCTCACAGACTTAAGTCTAACTCCCTTAGCACGATGGACAAAATAGCATCCCTGACTTGTGCTGGCCTTCTCTCCCCTTCCCTCACCAGACTGGGAATTTTATCAGTGCTGATACTCAGCACGCAATTTCTCAGAAGTACTGTGGGACCACAGGTCTCCACACATTTGGAATTTCTAGGCCGCCTATTAAGCTCTTGTCAATTTCCTGAATGGCATTAGAATAGGTTGGCTTGGGTCTGCAGATGAATCTGCCACTTAGTAGTAGCTTTGTTGCCTTGAACAAGTTTCTTAAGTTCCTTGGGTTTGTTTTATCATCTGTAAAATGGGAAATGTTGAATTTTATTTACTTGTAATTTGTTGAGGATTTTTGCATCTCAATCAGGCAACAATATGCCCGTTCATTAGGCATATTCACCTGTGTGTGTGTGGGGGGGGGGGGGGGCATGCACTCAGCTGCTTCAGCTGTGTCCCACTCTTTGTGACCCATGGACTATAGCTCCTCTGTCCAAGGGATTCTCCAGACAAGAATCCTGGAATGGGTTGCCAAGCCCTCCTCCAGGGAATCTCCCAAACCCAGGGATCAAACCCTGGTCTGCTGCATTGAAGGAGGATTCTTTACCATCTGAGCCACCAGGACAAGTGATGTGACTGTGAATTATGGTCCTTCCTACGGCATGTGTGCATGCATGCTCAGTCATGTCTGACTCTTTGAGATCCCATGTACTAATATCCCACCAGGCTCCTCCTCTGTCCATGGAATTTTCCAGGCAAGAATACTGGAATAGGGTGCTATTTCCCTCTCCAGGGTATCTTCCCGACCCAGGGACCAGACCCACGTCTCCTGGGTCTTTTGCACTGGCAGGTGAGTTCTTTCCCACTGTGCCACCTGAGAAGCCCTAACAAAGATGCTTCTGATAAACTGGCTGAGTCATCTCCTTGACAACATGACAAAAACCACTGGGAGCTCATTTAAAATCCCACCATGGGACTTCCCTGGTGGTCCAGTGGTTAAGAACCTGCCTTGCAATGTAGGAGATGTGGGTTCAATCCTTGGTTGGGGAACGAAGGTTCCATATACCTTGGGGCAGCTGAGCCTGCGTGCTACAACTACCGAAGCCCATGTGTTCTGCAGCCCAGGAGCAGCAAATGGAGCCCATATGCGCCACAACTAAAGAGTCCAGTGTGCTGCAAAGGAAGAGTCTGCAAGCCACAACAAAAGCCAGACAGCCAAATAAATAAATATTCAAAAAAAAAAAAATCCCACCAGGGGGCTTCCTTATGGCTCAGTGGTAAAGAATTTGCCTGCTGGCCTTTCCCGGTGGTTCCGTGGTAGGGAGTCCCCCTGCCAATGCAGGACACATGGGTTCAACCTCTGATCCAGGAACATCTCACATGTTGAGGAGCAACTAAGCCCATGTACCACAAATACTGAAGCCTGTGTGCCCTGGAGTCCGTGCTCTACAACAAGAGAAACCACCTCAATGAGAAGCTTGTGTATCACAACTAGAGAGTAGCCCCCACTTGCCCAAACTAAAGTCTGAGCAGCAACAAAGACCCAGTACAATGAAAAAAAAAATCCCACCAGAAACTGTGCTGTGATGCTGTCCACACTTGGCATCACTGGGGCCAGCCTGCCTTTAGGATGTGCTCAGCCCCTCTGGACTTCAGGGTGGGGGTGCGGTGGGGTGAAGGGAGGGAGGGCACAGTTCTTTAAAAGAACAGAAAGTTTCACTTTTTGGCATTTCATAAAGTAATTGTAAGGACCAAACACACTGGATTCAAAGAGAACATCTCCATGATGAACATGAGATGTTCATGAGAACATGAACATCTCCATGATGTTTTATGAGTATTGAATGAGCTGGGCTCAAGAGGAGGTAAGCAGAAAGCAGTTTTTTTTTTTTTTTTTCCCACCACCCTTTCTAATCTGATATCCTGTCTCATGTTTCAACCTCTTAGAAGAACTCTCAGGAAAGTGCCATGACTTTTTTTCTTTTTTTTTTAACTCTTAGATAGCAATAACCATGTTGAATAAAAGAAAGAAAGGAATGAAGAAAGGAAAGAAGGGCAAGCCAAAAAAAACCCCTCAAAGTCCCAAATCCTCAAAGTCCCAGCCTATGCTTACACATCAAATCTGAACTTTCCCAGCTCTGGCCTCCCTTAGACTTGCAGCCCAAAAGGGAGGAGAGGGGTTGAGCCTGGGTTCCTTTTCTAGTATCCACAGATTTAGTCAAACACCAGCCTAGATATTGCTGTGAGGGTATTTTTATATAAGATCAACATTTAAATCATTAGACTTTGAGTAAAGCAGATTACCCTCCATCCGGTGGGTGGGCCTCATCCAATCAGTTGAAGACCTTGGGAGAAAGACTGAGATTCCCAGGGAAGACGGAATTCTGCAGAGTGTCTCCAGACTCAGGCTATAACATCAGTTCTTCCCTGGGTCACCAGCCTGTCAGTCTATTTTTCAGATTTCAGATTTGCCAGCCTCTACAACCACAGGAGTCAATTTCTTGAATCTCCATCTCTTTCTCTCCATACATCCTATTGGTTCTCTAACTCTTAATACAATTTTTCCTAATACAATATCTACATCTAAACAACATACATTCACACCAACACATTCCCCTCCAGTCCAACACCACAGCATTGATTATGGCTTGTCTCCTTTGCACAGTACAGCCCCTTCCTCTGGCAGTAAGAAAGCTGGTGCCCATGGTGCTTGACGCACTGACATCCACTCCATCCTCCCTTTATGTTGCCCATCTCCTGACCACAATGCACCCTGAGAACTTGGCTCTGATGCAGGGAACAGGGAAGGGGAAGGATGCAGGGCTGTGTGTTTGGTGTTTTAATTCACAATGGCAATAAAATTTTATTTTGGACTTTCATTCTTTTGGTCTTACAAGAAAATTTAATATTTTTCCTTTGGCAGTTGAAAGTAAGGAGTTCATATTCAAATCTGGGACATAACTGTTGGTTTTTTTTATTATTAGAATAATTTTATGATGTTATTTGACCTCACAGGCAAAACCTCTTGACAGATAATATTGGTCAACACAGCTGGACATAATCTGGGGTGAGAAACAGACCAGGAGGCAAGTTCTCAGTATGCGGAGCAAAGTGACCTTGGAGTTTAACGTAAATGAGGCACTCTTCTAACCCAATGCTGAGTCTTCCAGGGCACCAGTGGTCTCAGGATGCCCACAGGAGCCGGGGATGGTACAGGGGGGTCTGCATCATGAAGGTGGGAGCAGGGCTTTCTTCCTCACCATCCCCCAAAGCTCAGACACACACCTAGTTGGTCACAGACTAAGTGGTTAAGCTCAATGTGTTAAGAGAAGAAGAAAAACCTAGGGAATGTTGTTTCCTTCCACGTGGAGTGACGCCTCCATTTATCTGATTAAAACGTTGGCAGAAGGAACATGGTCACATCTTGGCAGTCTCCTGCCCCTTGCCTTTCTCTGTGGGGAGCCGATGCTCTGCCCTGGCAGACAGAACTGCCCCAGCCCATTTCTGCCTGCGAGAGGAGTTAATCTGCCAGATTCTGGCTTTGGGTACCCATAGTCCGTTTTATCAGTGAAGCAGATGACCTCTGTCTGCTGGCTCCCTGACTTTATTTTACCAAGTCCAGAACTTGAGTGGGGAGGACAAGTATTATTTACCAAGTCTCATAAACACTCCAGTAACAGTTATCTCCCAGGTTTGCAAATCTAAAGCAGGTCATGAAAGCTGCTTGTGGAGTGGAGAGGAGGAATAAATAGGGAGATTGGGGTTGACATACACACATATATATACATAAAACACATAATATATACAAAATAGATAACTAGTAAGAAACTACTGTATAGCACAGGGAACTCTACTCAATTCTCTGTAATGGCCTATATGAGGAAAGAATCCAAAAAGAGGTGGATATATGTGTATGTACAATATAACAGATTCACTTTGCTGTACGCAGAAAGTAACACGACAGTCTAAATCATTTATACTCTAGTAAAAATTAATTCACAAAAAAAGCTGCTTAGAATTCTATAATGATTCTTTGATGTCTTCGAGATAAAATATAAGTTCCAGGGACTTCCCTGGATGTCCAGTGGCTAAAACTTTGCCTTCCATTGCAGGGTCTGTGGATTTGATCCCTGGTCGGGGAGCTAAGATCCCCATATGCCTCACGGCCAAAAAAAACAAAACACAAAACAAAAGCAATATTGTGTCACAAATTCAGTAAAGACTTAAAAAAAAAAATCCCATGGGTTCCCTCTCCTATATCAGCTCTCACCACTTTCTCAGCCCTCTTAATCCAAAGGACTGGCACTTCCCTGGCTGTGCCCTGAACCTTAATGCCTCTATGATGTCAAGTGGGCCACTTCCTGTCTTTCCCCCATTTTCCCTACGCCTGTCAAAATTTCATCATCCTTTGGTGGGGGCCCAGTGCAACCCGCCCTAAAATGTGCCTCCATGGCATGTTGATTACTTTGAATTAAAGTTACTTAAGAAATGGTTAATGCAAGAGGGACACTCTGACCCTCCTTTCTGTCTCCCTGAAAGCAGAAAATCAACCTCGCATAAGAAAGGTGCTCTCCCGGCATCTGAAGGTAGAAGGACACCCTAATCACAAGGGTGCCCACATCCTGCTGCCTGCACTCAAGGACACAAGGGGGTGATCGCTTAGGAGAAAGGGCAGAGTTAAGGGGGAAGATGCTTCGTACAGCTTGTGTCATAGTGAGTATGGGATGACCTATTTTGCAACTCTTTTCTTTATAGTCTTTATTTTCTTGTCATTTCATCTAAGTACTTTTCTCTCTCGCTCTCTTTTCAACAAAAGCCTCATTCAGGCCATTGCTCCATTACTGGCAATCCAAGAGGATGCGCCCTGCTCTTGGCAGAAGCCCATCTTGGTTTCACAAATCAAAGTCTAGAAAATTTAATCCCCTCCAAACACCAAAATGTTGGTATCTTATTGCATAATACTATTAGGGCTTTTTTTTTTAAATCTGAAATAAAAATTATTTAACACCTGGATAGTATTTGCTGCATCAAAATTTGGAATCTAAAGTTAGTGCTCTCATTAGAATGGGACCTTCTATACCTCTGCAATCCTCCAAAGGTGGAAGACAATGACAACACAGCAAGGCTTATATTGTAAGAATACATGCTTTCTCCCTTCAGAGACTTTTAATTATAATTTTACTATTTTACCATTTTAACAGACTCATTTTTAACATAATAGCCTTGAAATGGATTTGGGTAATTCTGCCTTGAACCTTCATCCATATTTCAGGAAATATGGAAGAAGACAAACCTGAAATACTGTCCCTGAAATAAGCACCGCTACTTGCTATCCATAGAAGTGTTGCAGTCCTGAAAAATGAACTAAGAGCTGTTTGCAACGATCTCTTCAAAGTTACCAAAAAAGATGTGATTATTTGATGGGGGAGATATCGTGGGAGAATATTTGAAGTCAACTTATAATGATTTTCATTTCAGGAGATGGCAGCTTAGTCAGAGGGGAGAAGACATGAGATATTAGGATCTTATCCAAATATTCGAGTGAGGACACGTGGAAGAAGAGAGTTAGTTCCATCCAACTTTCTTTCTGAACGCCGATTACAGTCACACCAAAAAGGAAGGCACTTAAATAAAAACTTAGGCATTAAAATTTACATTTTTCTGCAATCCATTTGAGCCTAATGAGTTTTTTTGTCTTTTTACAGAAATATAAAAGCACATGAAGCACTTTGCACAGTGCCTGGGCCATAGTAAATAAGTCACTCAGTGATAGCTGCTTTCACTGTCATTAATTATCTGCTCTGGGAAAAGGAGGAAGTTTCCCCAAGCATTGCCACTCACAGTTCTATAACTAATGCTCCATCACCAGTGCCCTCTAAGACAAAGACCTGAGCCCCAACTGTGTCAGATTCAAAGAGATCAGGTCTGTGCAGAACGATACATGTATAGCTTATGCAGGGCTCCCTCTACTCCTTGGTGGCCTTTCTCAATGTAAACATCCCTCCAACTCCCTCTTCTCCAAAATCCCCTCAACACTCCGCTCCCTAAGGCTCTCTATATCTAGCCGGAATTTTCCTCCAGAAGAAAAAATACCCAATAAGGAAATAGTGACTTCATTCCTTAGTCCCCTGTATACAGCCCATAACTTTTTTATTTTTGCTCAAACTCTTAAAACTTTAATATGCCTCAGTTTATCATTTTACATGAGGAAAACATCATAAATCGATAGAAAAGGCAGAGATATTCAATAAATGATGTTGGAAAAATTGCTTATTGATTTGAAAGCTAGTGGCAGTCCCCCAAGCTCTTATTCCTCCAGTCTCTCTAAAGGGTTTTATTTGCTTCTAAATCCTTCAGTGTCTGGGGGACCTAAAGTAATGTGTTTTCTTATCTGAATCAGAGCTGATACATTTCCAGGACCAAAAGAAGCTAAATAAAGTGCAAGTTTCAACAAAACATTTTCTTCTACCTGAAAATAAGGTACTATAACAGCACACAAGAACTTGTTTTAATAGTTAAATAGATTCAAAACCTTGTTCCATAGCTGAAAAGGCACTTGGACCTGTATCCTGAACTGGTCTCCAGAGGGCAGCAGAGAGTCATTTACAGTAACGAAAGTTCCCTCTAACCAAAAGTGTGTGTACCCAGGCTGTTTTTTCAACTCTTCTCTTCTTTCTTATGACTAAGCCTTAACAAACTGGGTGGCCAGGATTTGGAAAGCTGAGGTCATGGATCAAAGTGATGCCAACAAGCCAAAGCAAAGATTCAAAGAATCACTTTCATATCTTTAAAATAATTCTTTAATTAGATAAACCAACGAACCACAATTAATACACTGTTGACTAAGCATATTTAACCAGCACATGTTTATGAAACACTGATGCATATAAAGCATCTAATCTTTTCAGGGCTTTCTACTCCTAGATATACAAAAAGTATATAGAAAAGAGTAATAGTCACTTATTCTGCCATATATTTTTTGAGCATTTGGTACACACTAAAAGTTTATTAGTGACCCAGAAACTGTTAAAGACACAAAGACTTATAAAAGGCTTATAAAACTCCATGTTTCTGGAGGAGGAAAAGACAACCCACTCCAGGATTCTTGCCTGGGAAATCCCATGGACAGAGGGCTCTGGTGGGCTATAGTCCGTGGGGTCACAAAGAGTCCTACACAACTTAGTGACTGAGCACGCATGCATATATACACGTATATATAACTGAATCACTTTTCTGCATACCAGACCCTAACACAACATTGCAAAGCAGCTATACTTTAATAAACATAAGCAAGTAAATAATCTGGAAAAAAATAAAAGCACGTTTCAAAAAAAATCAGGACTTCATTGATGGTGCCGTGAACAGGAATCCACCTGCCAACATAGGGGACCTGGGTTCCATCCCTCATCTGGGAAGATTCCACATGTAGAGGGGCAACTAAGCCCATGTGCCAAACCTACTAAGCCTGCACACCACAACTCCTGAAACTGAGCACCCTAGAGCACATGCTCTGGAGCAGGAGAAGCCACCACAATGAGAAGCCCGCATACTGAGAGTAGAAAGTAGGCCCCTGCAACCAGAGAAAGCCCAAGTGTATAAGGAAGACCCAGCACAGCCAAAAGTAAATAAATAAAATTAAAAAGAAAAAAAAAACTTAAAAAAATTATGTTTAAAAAAACATGTTATTCTGACTTTTACCTTGTAAACAACAAAAAATCTGGATACAATACGTAAAATGCTTCTATGAGCTGACAAAGTAAGGAAGAGTTAGGCCAAAATTAGGTGAACGCGGGCATCCAGAGAAGTATGTGGAACACAGGAGGTGGCCTGAACTCCAGGGCATTGCAAACCAGGTAAAAATTTAAACTTTGGTTTACATGTCTTAAGAGGGCACAGAGAAAAGGCATCACAAAGGTCCCCTCAAAATGGTGATTCTCAAAAATAGGAGACCACCTAATGAAGGCCGAGATACCAAAGGGTGATCTCTTCAGTGTGAGAACAAATTAGAAGTAACCACCTTGAACCCTCTACCTCCTCCCACCCGAGGGAAAGTGAAATTGCCTCCTATCTGGAAACTTGGCTCAAAGTATGGAGGAGGGAAGAAAATCTCTTCTGAGTTTTATAAGTTGAGATGACCCACATTCATACATCTGGGTGGTCTAAAATGCCTCAAGTTGAAAATTAGGTTAAGGTGGTCACAGACACAGGAGTCTCACAGAAGCAAATAGAAATCTTCTCTGTAGAGACTCACCTCTATTCCAGGCCTCAAAGAGTTTCCATAGAAATATGAGTTTGCAGTCAAACACCATGAAACCCGAAAGTAAAGGACGTATCATGAGTGACAGCCAGTACTTATTAGACCCTCAAAGATGAAAGACGTGGAATATCGATCACATACATTGAAATATACGTATAGAAATAACAGGATGAGTTAAGGTAAAGAGCTAGAACCATTAAAAAGTAACCAAACAAGCCAAACATAGGACCTCATTTCATAAAAAACATAGCAAGTAATATTTTAAAACTTAATCAAGGAACTTCCCTGGCGGTCCAATGATAAAGAATCCGCCTTCCAGTGCAGCAGACCAGGGTTCAATGCTTGGTCGGCGAACTAAGATTGCATCTGCCACAGGGCAACTAGAGTTCCTGCAAGTCAGGGAAGAGCCTGAGCACCACAATGGAGACCAGAGCAGTGCCCTCGCCCTCCAAAAAAAACTCAGTGAAAACAGACAATACGGTGATGCTAATAGAAACATGCGGTAGGGTTAGTGGGATTAAAATAATTGAGAGCAGTAAGACACATATTAAGACTTTATTCCAACAAAGTTTTAAGTTTAAAGGAAAGACAAATGCCCTAGGCAAATAATACTTCACTGTATCTGACTCAAAAAGAATACAGAACCCAAATTGTCTCATAATCAGTTAAGGAAATTGAATGGGGACTTCAAGATATGTCAATATATGCATCAATCAATGCCTCTAGGCCCAGGTGGCTTTCCTGGCAGTTTAAAATATTTAAGGAAGAAACAGTTCTAATTTTACACAGATGCTGCCAGTGATGCAGATAATATCCTGCAACTCATTTTGTGAAGCTACCATAATCCTGATACCCAAACCCAACGAGAACAGCATAAAAAAAGAAAAGTACAGCTCACCACACTGATGAACACAGATTTAAAATATCCTAAGCAAAATATAAACATGCTAAGTTCAGAAACAAATTTGAGAGACAAACAAAAGGACATTATGATCAAGTTTGGCTTATACACAGAAAGAAAGGTTGAGTTAACATTCAAATAAAAATTAAGTAATTAATTTCATCACACCAAGAGATTAAGGAAAAAAATCATATGGCCCTTCAATAGATTCACAAAACCCCACATTTTACCAAATTAAAATGCATTTGTGATTTTTTTCAAGTCATATAGCAAAAGAAATAGCCTGATAATTCCTATAGCAACTGTTGTGTGTAATGTTGATACACTGTATTCATTCCCTGTAAGATTAGATAGAAAATAAGGATGTAAAAAAAGAAAAGAAGGATGCTTGCTGTCATCCCTTTTATTTAGCATTTTACTAAGTGCTCCAACAGTGCAGTTGGCAGAGATGAATGAATAAATGAAGAAATGGTAGGAGAAAATTGTAGCAGACCAAAATTTGCCATCTCCAAAATGTGTCCCTTTGATATGAGGATTAACTGGGCTAATTATTT